TAATTAATTCTTAACTAAAAAAAAGACTATCGATTTTGTTGACACCCGAGTTCGAGAGCCGAACCGGATACCCGGTCCGGTTAGAAAGTGCCGAGTTGGACCGGAAAACTTTTTGACCTAGACGTTCCCATGAGTCCGTCCGCTAGTTCGGCGTTTGCGACTGTGAAGCCCCGGTGCCGATCTGAAGAGTGACGGGCTGGAAGAAAGGTTCCCCGGAACTGGAGGAACAAACGAAGAAAAGGTGCCGACCTGAAGTCTCAGAACGGGTCCCTACAATGAGGAATGCCGATCTCGATAATAGTATAATAATGCCACTTGGAGGGTAATCATTGGTTAATGGATGGGACATCTTAGCCTGTTGACCTACTTCCCCTAGCCACGACATAAAGTCTGCCAGCATTAAATGCTTGTCAGACAATGATGAGAAAAACCTCAAATCGCATTAAATTCTGTCAGGGAGGCGCCGAACTGCTCTGCAAGAATACTATACGACAAGACTGGTGAACAGTGCCTGAACAGTGTCACATTTAAGGCCACTATAAATAGCAACCCACTTCATTAATTTTGGGTTGTTGAATCCCAACTGTAAAAAGCTCTTTCTATATTTTCTCTCTCTAGACTTGTAAGAAACTCGTGTAAGAAATTGTAAGTATATCTCAAATGCCGACCTCGTACGAGAGGCCGACCTCGTGATCTTTTAGTAAAATCGTGATTAATCCCTAATTCCTTGTCTTTTTCCCATTTTCTTTCCATTATTTAACTTTTTAACCGTTGACCGGAAACGTCCGTCAACAGATTTCTAATATATGTGCATCTTAAGTATGTTTTACATTTATCATTCGTCAGCTCCAACTGATATAGGACATTTATTAATTTTATCGTTTTTTTAACTTTTGGATGGAATGGCAGCTTAAGTTTTCGCATTGTGTAGTTTTTATCTTTTTATTACGTAGAACATCATTTTTATCCCTTGTTTAGTTATTAGAATACTAATAAAATCATTAAGGACTTTTTAACCTAGAGGTTTCCTTTTTAAAAATGTTTACCAATTTTCATAAATTAAATGACATAAATTAAATGATAAATACATTGAATGTGTTATATTTTATATCATTATTAACAATTTTTAAAATAATTAACTGCACACAGTATTATATATAATGAAAAAAATTTTAGTTTGATTTGAGCCATACTTTTATTGCAAGAAAATGATGAAATTTCAATGAAAACATGTTACAATGGAATTTCAACGACAACTCTAACAAATATTTCAATGAAAAATTCAAACAAAAATAATTTGTTGGAATCATGGCTAAATTCACGTTTATTGAATAGTCCCAACACATGCCTCATCCCAAAACATATAGCATAAGATATCTAAGAAAAATTATGGAAACATTTTTCATAATTTTAATTGTGCCCCCTATTTAGAAAATAAAATTAAAAGAAAGAAAGATACATCATGAATTGATTTAATTCAACTCATAACTTTTTTAAAGTTAAAACATAAACGTGGTATCACAACTAAAGAAAACATGATACTTATCAAAATTTGCAACGCTCTAATTCTCTATCTTTTTTCTTTTAATCTGATAGCTTATATTCTCTCTTTTGCGGCATATTTTTTATGTCTTTTTAACTGTATGTAGAATTCTAGTTCTATATTCATAATTTATATATTCATCAAATTTATTGTCGAGTCTACTATAGTACCACATAAATTTTTTGTTCATAATTTTTTTTTTAAAATATATATATATATATATATATATATTTGATGATTTTCTTTTGTTGAATTGAGAAAAAATATGTTTTATTTAATATTATTGAATTTATGTGATTGTATTGATGTGTTAAAAAAAAGTATTACATAATGAGAAAGATGACAAATTTTAAAAGATATACTTTATAAATTGTAATAACATTATGTTATTTTGATGGTATATTTTTTCTATTAATTAAATACTGCCCTCAACATGAAATTATTTTGGATCCGCCACTCAAATTAGTTTTTCAATGGTACTTCCATAGATTTGTTTGCAATTTAAATGACAGTTTTTCCAACTGTTGAAATATGGTCGGAAAGAATAAATTCCAATGAAAATTCATACAAAAATAAATAAAAGTAATTGTAATATTAAATCCACAAAAATTTCAATGTAATTTAGTTCGATCTCTGTTGGAGTACCCAATAAATTTCTTCAATGGAAGCCATACCAACAAAATATCCATTGGAATTTTTAGTGGAATACCTTACTGTTGGATTTTTCATTATAATATGGAATTTTTGTATTCTTCTTAAACATTAAAATTTTTATTATGTAGTATTTTTTGTTATTTCTTGATTGTGTTTACAAATTTTCTATTAAAAATATATTAAACATGTGTACTTTTTAGTCCATATAATTTTTTTACAAATCACTCGTTATTTCATGTCAACATTACCTAATAATTTCGCAATTGAGTTATTATTCCTTCATATTAATAAAAATAAGTATTATTTTATATATGCAATATGATATTTATATATTATATTAAAAAAGCTAATAACAAATTAAAAGTTATTTCAAATTACAATAACCAACTTTTGTTTTAAAAAAAAAATTAAAAGCTCTAACCTACATGAATAAAAGTAAAAATAAATATTGTCAATAACCTAAAACTCTCACATAGAATTAATAAGTACAAAAAATTAACAAGCGTTTAACAATTCAACTCATTTACATTGATAAGTACAAGTTTTAAAAGTTTTATATTTATATTTGTTAATTATAACTTTTTAGTTTTTACCTTTTTTCATATTTATTAGTAAGTGTTACGACTTAATTATATTTTTAGTATTATTTATCAAATTTAATATTTTCTAACTTTTTAGTTAGTTAAAAGAATGCATAAAATTAAGTATATAACTTTTGGGTCATGTGTCTTGTTATATAGTTGTACATCGTTATATTATATTATATATAATTACAATTTTCTCGTTAAGTTGTATCTTTAGAATTATTTATATAGAAGTTAACCCTTAATTAAATTGTTTTTTTTACCAACATTTATCATTTTGCTAAAATTGTAGATATGTAAATAAATAGTTTAAAATATTTAAATTTTTTATAAGTATTTATTATGTCGTTTCTGTTGGATCAATTTTCTTTAAAGAACTTTTATATATTAGAATTATAAAATGTGATTACAATTTTACCATTAAAATTATATTAAAAATAATAACATTTTTGGAAACATCATTTCTATAGCTTTTGAAAGCTTTGTTGTTTGAGTTGATTTTGAATTTATTTTTTAGAGATATGAAAGAAAGCAATTTGGCAGATATGTGGAAGAAAGCAAATTCGTGAAGAATAATGGTACAAAAAAGTTGTACATCGTTATATTGTATTATATATAATTACAATTTTCTCGTTAAGTTGTATCTTTAGAATTATTTATATAGAAGTTAACCCTTAATTAAATTGTTCTTTCTACCAAGATTTATCATTTTGCTAAAATTGTAGATATGTAAATAAATAGTTTAAAATATTTAAATTTTTTATAAGTATTTATTATGTCGTTTCTGTTGGATCAATTTTCTTTAAAGAACTTTTATATATTAGAATTATAAAATGTGATTACGATTTTACCATTAAAATTATATTAAAAATAATAACATTTTTGGAAACATCATTTCTATAGCTTTTCAAAGCTTTGTTGTTTGAGTTGATTTTGGATTTATTTTTTAGAGATATGAAAGAAAGCAATTTCGCAGATATGTGGAAGAAAGCAAATTCGTGAAGAATAATGGTGCAAAAAAGTTGTACATCGTTATATTATATTATATAGAATTACAATTTTCTCGTTAAATTATATCTAATTATTTATATAGAAGTTAACCCTTAATTAAATTGTTCTTTTTACCAATATTTATCATTTTGCTAAAATTGTAGATATGTAAATAAATAGTTTAAAATATTTAAATTTTTTATAAGTATTTATTATGTCGTTTCTGTTGGATCAATTTTCTTTAAAGAACTTTCATATATTAGAATTATAAAATGTGATTACGATTTTACCATTAAAATTATATTAAAAATAATAACATTTTTGGAAACATCATTTCTATAGCTTTTCAAAGCTTTGTTGTTTGAGTTGATTTTGGATTTATTTTTTAGAGATATGAAAGAAAGCAATTTGACAGATATGTAGAAGAAAGCAAATTCGTGAAGAATAATGGTGCAAAATAGCTGAAGTTGATTAAAAATTGAAGAGAACAAATAGATCCAACTGCCTAGACATCTATCACTCTGCCCTTCTTCTTAGCTTTCCTTATATTATAATAGGATTGTAAACGAATCGAATCAAAGTGAATATTAAGATATTCAATTCGAATTCATTAAAATATTCGAGGATTCAAATTCGTATTCGATTTATTAACGAACTCATTTTTTTTATTCATATTAGATTTGTTTAGAATATTCATTGAAAAACAATGATTACATAACTATTAAACCTGCTTAACAATATAGTCTTACTAAATTTATTTTATTTACTATTTGATTTGTTATTTGTTATATATATTAACCCACTCAATTTCAATATTATAATCCTAATTGTTGAGTGTGTAACTGATCAAATATAATACTTTAAATGTCAGAAATATTAGAATATTTTTTCCATATAAATTATCATGGAGTAGATAAAACGAAATGGATTAGCGTCCATGTTATACTAAACGATAAACGAAAAAAGACACGTTTTTTTTTAATTTTTTTTTTCACAGAGAATGGAATGGGTCTGAAGTCTGAACATATAAGAGGCGCATTTTCGTTTTTTTTAACAGAGAATGGTATTTAGATCGTTATATTAATTAATAATTAAAAATATTAGTATGAATGGAAAAGTACCAATCATTTATCTCAGTCATAATTCAAGAAAAATGAATAAAATATTACCTTTTTTAAAAACCAATGCTCAAATAATCTACTCTGCAGTCTCTGCTCCTAATTTTTGTTTTAAACTATTAGGCGCCAGCTTCTGAATAATTTTAAATATTTGGGACTCTTTTCCTTCGAGTCAAATAAACTAAGTAGCATCTCAAATGTTTTTAAATCTAGCAAGAATCCTTTGGCAACCATCTCCTCAAGAAACATTTCTGCATCATCATATTGGCCACCTGCTAGGTTTCCTTGGACAATAGTGTTATAAGTAAACTCATTCGGAGACAAACCTGATTGTCCCATTTTGAAAAGAAGATCCTTAGCTTCCTCTAATAGCCCGTTTTGACAGCATCCTTTAATCAAAACAGTGTAGGTCAGCACATCACATTCCAACCCCTTCGAAACCATATCTTCCAAAATAGCTCGACCCGCATTGAGCTTATTGGACCTGATCAAACCATCCATGACGATGTTATAGTATTCATTATGAAGATGTTGTCCCTTGCGCTCTAATGCTTCTAACAACGATAAAGCCCTCTCGACTTGCCCATTCCTACATAATCCATCCAACATATTACAGTATGTATAGAAGTTAGGTTTTACTCCGACAGCTTGCATCTCATAGAATATATCAAGCGCTACACGCCAGTTGCGCACACGAAATAAACCCGCCAGTATAGTGGTATACGTGGACACATCAGGCTTGATCCCTTTACGGGGCATCTCGTGGAAAATACCCATAGCGTCATCCAACTTCATCTTTCTACAATAGCCGTTGATTAATGTGTTACAGCTGATAACATTAGGAGTATAATTCTTGCTACTACCCATTGAATCAAAAACATTCCTTGCTTCATCCATACGCCCTTGAAGACAATATCCGCTCATTAATGCATTGTAACAGGTGACATTTGGAATTACATGCTGCTGCTTCATGATTCCGATTACATCTTCTGCTTCATCCACCATTCCTTCCTTACATAAAGCATCAATCAAGATGGCGAACGTGACCACATTCGGATATATCTTGAAGAACACCATCTCCTTCATCAGCTTTTTTACTTCCTCCCAACGGCTGAAATTACACAAACCACCTATCAAAGAACTGTAAGTAACGACATCTGGCGGGATTCCCTTCTCGGGCATTTTGTTGAAAAGTGCCAAGGCCGAGTCTATCATTCTATCCTTACACAAGCCGTCAATAACAGTGTTTTATATATGTGCACTGGGCTTGAGTGCCCCTTTTTCCATTGTTCTGAGAAATTCAACAGCCATTGAGGTGTTACCAACCTTGCAAATCCCGTCGAACACAATACCACAAGTTACAATGTTTAGCTCACAAAGCCCTTCTCCAACCATCTTCCTTATCAACTGTTGTGCTTCGTTTATCCTATTCTCTCGAAACAGACCTTTCAGTAAGGTGCTGAAGGTATATTCATCTGCAGCGCTTGAAGAACCAACCCAGAACTGAGAACCCGTAATCAACCCGGCCCGAAAGGCAAAGACTGTTGATAGCAATATTCATAGTGTATTCATCGACTGAAACCCCTAAACTGCAGATGTCTTTGAAAAGGTTAATAGCAGCGGAGTACTCTTTCAGATTGACCACACGCGAGAGCAATTGAGTAAACTGAACAACACATGGTAGAGGCCTCGTTCTCGACATGTTCTCATACAGGCAAAGAGCATCATCCAACCCATTAATGTTCCTAATTTCTTCACGGAAATTGAATTTAGTAACAGCTCCTTTTGTACAGAAACAACGAGAAAGTAGCTGAGAGCAGCAGAGGGATTTACCTTATTCATGGCGAATTGGGGAAGAAGATAGAAATCGCCATAAGAAAAAGGCATAACTCAGCCTCGTCATTTACTCTGCAGAGTTTTATTCTATGCACTTGTTTGGTCAACGGTTCAAACCTTATAATCTATACTTATATTAAAGGGGTACTATTTACTAAATTAAGTAGCCAAAAAAGTCAACAGCATTTATTGCATTACTATTTCTGTATTATACTATATAAAAGGATATTCTATTTACTACATTTACTATCCAGAAAAGTCAACTGCATTTAATGTCATTACTATTTTGGTATTATAATATTTTATTTATTTAATTTTATTTATTTATTTATTTTATTTTAAAAAGGTAAGTATAATAAAAAGATTTTAATAATAAAAAAATCAAATACCAAATAAAAATGTACACTTTGACTTATTTGATTATATTTTGGTATTTGATTATACCAAATATATTTCTATTTAGTATATACATTAAATACTTACTAAAGTATTTATTTGTTTTATTTGTCAAAGTTAAGTATAGATTTGTTTATATTATCAAATCATAAAAAAATATTAAATCCATATTGTAAAAAAAAAAATCATATAATTTTATAACAATTCTACTACACTATTTAACAATATTCCTTTTTTATTATATAATAAAATAATAATTAAATATTATATGGTGAACAACAATAAGTAAAACTGTTACTTTCTCTTATATCAAGGGATAAATTTATATGCTAAAATTAAATTTTTATTAGTATAAATGTTTTAGTGAGATAATATATTAATTATTTTACAAGCTAGCCCTAACATGCTCATATTTAATGTTTTAAAAGATGTAGAAAAAAAATTTATAATAACTCTATTGTTTTTTAGACTTAAACGTTGATTAAAAGAGGTAAAAATTCCTAATTTTTTAGACTTAAACGTTGATTAACACCATAGATTGAGAGTTTATATTTAGTAAAATTCCTAATTGTAATAAAAAAATTAATTTTTGCTATATTTTAGAATATCTTTAAATTCATTATAAAAAAAAAAAGAAAAAAAACTACAATGAAAAAAGCAAGTAAGCTATATATCGATTTGTTGTACTCTTCACATCACATTCACCATTTGACTACAAGGAAAGGAAACTCATTGATTAAAATATTATTTTGTCAGTAGTCTTAATGTACAAGAGACTTTAAGACTCCACTTGAATATTATAAAACTTTTATTGAATATTATACAATTTCTTGCGTATTATAAACTTTTGTTAAATATTGCATCTTATAATATAATATTCTCTAAATAAATATATCTCGTGCTTCGCACGGGTCACGTACTATATATATCTCGTACATTTTTCTATATTCATGTATATAATTATAAGCCTGGATACATAGCCTTAAAATTATGCACTCCGTGCATCGCACGGGTCTCTGTACTAGTAATAAATAATAGGGAAAAGGGACATATCCCCTCTCATGTTTGAAGCGTGGTTACATAATTACTTCTAGGGCATCCACAATGCATTTATATGCCACCTAATTATTAGATCTAATCTAAAAAAAATTATTCTCCAATAAAAATAAAAGTAGACTAGGTCATGATGTGACAGCCAGAAAAAGAGACTAGGTCTCCCCTTAAGTCTATTTTAGACCCAAGTAGAGAGTCTCTTTGCATTGGAGTGAATTTTGTTAATTTTACATAATTTTGTCCATGTCATCCAAGGCTTGAGTTTATTCACATGCCCCATAGATAAGACTAGACTCAATGCATTGTAGATGCTCTTAGTTATTAACTATTAGTTAATCTTTTGCATATGCACATATATAAATAAAATTTTATATTTGTATATATAATAATTACAAATTATTTGTTAAATAATGAGCATATCACATTTTAAAATTTTTATTATTAATAAAGTAAAGATATAAATATAAACTATTTAACTTACATATAATTACTATATTGATTGCAATAATTTAATTTTTGCAATTTATAAATTATATTATCAGTACATTGAACAATTTAAACTTATAAACTATTTAAATTACAAACATATAATTACTATAACATACGCCCAAACAATAATCCATTATTATATAAAGAAGGAACCTAAATAATTCTAAACAAAAATATAAGAGGAATTCCCGCCTAAACAATAATAAACATAGCAAATTTTTTTTGAAAATTTTAACATATCCCGCATGTTATTGAATCATTTAGATTTTTCGCTATTTTGAATTTTGAATTACCGAAAAATTCTTTGCCGCATGTTATGGGATAGTAAATGAATTTGAATTTTAGTCAATCCAAATTCTTATCACGTACAAGATGTAGAAATATAGAAATTTATTTAAACAAAACTCTTATCCCAAACATTTTAACCCACAATTTTCTGACTACTTAACTAAAACCATGTTCTTATTTCCGATAATGCACAAATTTTTTGATTTTCATAGTGGATTCATGGGCCTCATTTCAAACATTCCGGTTTTAACAAACCTGCTTGCTTTATAAAATTGCATGCCTTTCGATTTATAAAGTTGCATGCCTTTGCCTAATTATTACACCCAAAATTTTAAAAAAACTACACGAAAGTGCACACTATATTATACAATGAATAATTAATTAATTAATGTTGTATTTTGCTTTAATGCTTTCGATTTTGTTTGTTTGTCTAATTATGACATTGCTATAACATGCACGCTTTGAGATCAGTACGTAGACCAATTTCTGTGTTTCTAGCAGCACTATCAAGAAGTTGCACCTGGTTAGTCATGGGTGTTAATCATGCAACTATGCAAGGCTCGTCTTTGGAGAGGTAAATTTGTAATTATATATATTGGTATTGCTATAAGTAATTTCCATGCTTTCAATAGTTTTACATTTGTGTTATAATGAATTATTTTTTATTTTTATTGTATAAGTGAAGTTCAACTTACCACTGCCATAAATATTACAAGGTTGATTGCAGTTGATACAATTGCTGAAATTAGGGATTTCTGACTGAGGTAATAAAGATAATTTAGATTTTCCGCAGGCGATTCAAAGAACAAGAAATATATCTCCAATAGCAAGATTGTGCTCAAAAGTGAACTTGATGAATTGGAAAATGGAGATGTCGTTTCGCTATATGAAACTGATGAGGTATTAGTTAAATTATAGTAAAGTATTTTTTTTTTATTATAACAAAGTGATACCATATATTCCATATATCTTAATTAATTACTATTTAATAATTGCAGGAGACTACCGCTAAAGAAATGAGATCCGTTACTACTGAAAGTAAGAGAAAGGCTAAGATTAGATAGAAACAAGAGTTTGGAAGTATAGCGAATAATGAGGTCGTGACCCAAGATGAAGTTGAAGCATGACTGCATGATGTTCTCTTGGTTTTCTTATATCTATTAATATTTATTAAGTTGTTCAGGTTGCTTTTTTAAATTATTAGATTAAATTTTTGGTTTAATTAAAAATTTAGTCGTATTACAAACTGCAATTGGCAGTATGTAGCTGACCTCATCTATATATATATAATAAGAATTAACATTTACTAAAAATAGTAGCAAAAAAATAGGTCAAAATTTAATACAGCCTATATATAGTAAGTTTTATTACTTTTTTTTTTCTTTGAAAATCATACAACATTAAATGCTACCTTAAATTTCGGGTTTTAGTTTATTTTATTATTCAAAAAATCCGGCTAAGATTTATTAAGTGTGTATATTTTTATTTTTATTTTTTTTTCTTAAAAACAACTAACAAGATTAAAATTTCGGGCTCTATATTTATAAAATTTCAATTCAAAATATAACAAAAGTTTTAGAATCTCGGTTTTTATATTTGTGCCGTTAAAAAAACATATTGAACGCTAAAAATATTCTTTAAATTGCATAATCAATCAATTAATCCTAATTTTTTTAACATTACTATATTTATTTTTTATTAATATGCATAAAGTAAAAATAATTAATTCATCTTTAGATATATAATATATAATCTTAATATACTATCATTTGGTGTAGACATTTATTATATGTCATAAAATATTATTATTTCATAAAATTAAATATATTTAAAGAAAATAAGAAAATTTCTTCGGATCAATCGGGTGATTGAATTAGGGTACTGCCAAGGTTGATTGAATTACTTTTAGGTGATAATTAAAATAATAAAAAAATTTGACACAACTTGGTTGGTCCAAGGTGACTAAGTTATGTATGTTCGACCACACCAAATCGATTATTGAACCTAAATATAAATTTTATATTGAAAATATATTATTACGTGAATGTGATTAAGTCCAAACTTCAAATAATCGTATTAACAATACTTTTATGACAACATGTTTAATGATTTATGAATAGTTATATATCATTTTGTTAATATTTATGTGAATTAAATAATATTTTATTATAATATTTATTAATGTACAGTAAATATAAGATTTTCAGAACTGGGACCGTCATCGAATGATCAAGCTATTTTATTAAATCATTTGTGGTTTGTTTAGATTTTAATTTATAAACATTTTAATATATATATATATATAGTACTTTTTGTAATAAATTTAAATAAAATGTTTAGTTAGATATCTAAAAAATTTATAAATTCAAATGTTTAAACTAATTAATAAATAATATATAAATTTTTATTTTATTAAATATGTAATTTTATTTAAAATAATTTTAAATATAACAAAATTTATTTAGAAAATCGTATTGATCCTACCAGTCCAACCGATTGGTGTTGACGGATTCCAGAGCAAATATTTTATTCAAGCGAACTAGACTGGTTATAAACCGGTTCTCGAACCATCCGGGCGGACTGTGTGCAACCCGGTTTAATTTAAAAACAATGGATAAATTATGATTAATGTTATTTATATATTTAATTTATAATACAATCGTATTATTGTTTTCCCGTGCATCGCACGGGCCACACACTAGTTTTTATCTTATTAGGATTTATGGCAACATTTAGTTGACCGCTTTATTAAGATATTAAGATTTGGTTGTTCCAATTCATTCTGGTAATGAAATAAATAAATATTGAGGATTACATTCATCTTCCTTAAATATCATTCAAACATTCAAATTGTTTACAATAGTCTGTTTCCACTATCTAATGATTTATATTCTGGGAACTAATTTTCCCTATGGTAGTCATAATATTTGATAGTAATTTAATAGCAATTGGACACAAATTATTTGATTAATGGAATAAGCCAAAAAAGCTATTGGACATAAATTATTTTATTAATGGAATAAGTTAGACAAAATAAAAGATAAAAATTACTTGAAAATCATGAATCAGACTTTGTTATGAGTTAAATTACAAATTTGTTACTACTAATTAATATACTAATTTTTGTGAATAATGAAATAATCCGATATTATAGAGATAAATAATTGTTCATAAGATTTGAAATCCCACTTAACACTGTCTTTAAGATTTGTTTGTTCCAATTCATTCTGTTATGAAATAAATGAATATTGAGAATTACATTCATCTTCCTTAAATACTGTTCAAACATTCAAATCTATATATATTAATATATAAAAAGGCAATGATATTTACTTGAAGTAACAACTAAAAATCAGTAAAAAATATTTGATTTCCCGCCTAAAAATCAAATTTACTAAATTGAGTAATTTTTTAAGCCAAAATTTGAAAATTTTCGCCTAAATTAATGTAATTAATGTACAGAATCATTTTGGTCAAATCTTGCAGCTATTACCTTTATTAGATGCATGGTTTAAATTTGGAATATAATATATTGACAAAACTTGTGGCTATTACCTTTATTAGTTGCACGGTTCAAATTTGGTATATAATATATTGAAAAACTATAAAAAAATATTTTTAATTAAAATTAGAAATTAAAAAAATAATTATTCATAACTTAAGGGTCAATATTAATTTGGACGTAAACGAAATAGTCAATTATTTATAGTTCAATAAATTATTCAATAACTTACGGGTCAATATTAATTTGGACGTAAACGAAATAGTTAATTATTTATAGTTTATTAAATTACTCAACTACTTAATTTTTTTGATTTGAATAGTTTATACAAAAATAAATTTATTTTAAGTAATGAAACAATATAAATTTTATATTCATACTTATTATTCACATAGATTGTTAGATATATGATAAAATTTTACCAAAATAACTATTTTATGGAATCACATTATAGTCAAATCGAATTTCTTAATAAAAATTTTAAAATGACACTTATTTTGAAATAAATATAATTTAATTATTTATCAATTATGTGCACCGCACGGGTTGTGTACTAATTTTAAATAGACATTTTTTTATCTAATTTTGCACAATTTAAAATTTATATAATATTTTTAATAAATTAATATAGGTAAATTATATATTATATATTGATTTCATATTTTTAATTTATAAATATTATTTAATAAGAATTTGTAATTTATAAATATTAATGAATATCTCTTACTCGTGCACTGCACGGGTCTCATACTAGTAATCACATAACATACTGCTTCGAGAGTTCTTGTGAGTTTTGAAATCTCAATCGAGATATTTTCAAGATCTTTACCTACAAAGACGAACGGAGAATGTGTCGGGTCATACGACAGAAGTCTCGAGGTAACCCGAAGCCGCACGGACCACCACATGATTCAACGCAACCCCTGCGACCACCGCAGCCTCAGCCGCACGGAGCCGCGCGACCCGCACACGCACGACGCAGCAGCACGCGAGCGCACACCAGCCCGACTGCGATCAGTGACGCCCGACGACGCACAAGCACGACCAGGCGAGACGCGCTCCCGGCGAGCAACGACCGAGCACACAGCCAAAGGCGAGGAGGACGAAGGTGAGAAGATCATCTCACAACAGTCTGTTCGGCCCTGTAGGTCATGTAATTGTTTCAGAGTATGCAAAAGTTTTAAACCGTAAGTGTCCGATCCTTACTTTAGTTCCACTGCGCTTAGGTTTCCTTTTGTAGGTTAATCCGTGCCTTGTATTAATACGACGTTCCTCATAGAACCCCAACAAGTGGTATCAGAGTACATGCTTTAATTCCTTTTTTTTTTTTTTTGCAAAGTTTGAATTTTTAAAGCTTGAGCAATTCATGTGTGTACAAGCGCAACCATAAATTGGATTATTGCATAACTTGGATTTCCAGGAATATATGAATCCACTGTTTGTTTAAATTATTGCAAGTTTTTTAAGCCTCGGACATGTCGATGATTTTTTGAGTTGTGAATACTTGTAAGAGTTTATTCGCACGGTAGGACACCGTATAGATTTACTGTTTTTGTAGACAAGCATGTAAACTCATCCATGAGTCTAGGATCAAATTGTTTGTATTTATTTCATATCTTGTCGACTCTGGATAAACTCCGGCAATCAAGATGATTGATGAATCTCGACAACCTGACCAGTCGCGGCTCGACAACGACTGCCTCCACAAGGCTGCGAACAACCGTGCGTGGACCGCCGGTAGTTTGCTGTCGATGTGTGCCCAGTGCACAGGACGTACGCGAAATGCGTGTCGCAAGGGTAAACATCGCCAGCAAGGCAGGCTAGCAGAAGGCCTCGGCAACAGACGCGAGCACCGCATGCGAGTGTTGTGCAAGGGGCGCTACCTAAGGAGAGGGCTCATTTTTAGCTTCACTTGAGTTCATTACTTCCCAAGAGGAAGCAGAATTTCATGCCCTTCGATGGAGTCTAGAATTAGCTCAAGGCAACGGATGGCACAATTTCACATGCTTCACTGCTTCTTCTTCAGTTGCTCATGCCTTGTCCAACTTCCCTGTTTCTTGTTGTAATGCTTTATTTTTTCCTTTGTGTTTTGGACATTCATACTTTATAGCAGGTTTGTTGGGTTGTAGTTTCTTTAGGTGTTCAGTTTAGTTTGTGTTTTGCTAGCTATTGTTTAGCTTTGTTTGCAGTTGAGGGGAGGTCTCCTGGATCTCCTCCGGTGGAGTCTTCTCCATTGCTCTTTGTGGCGGAGTTGTTCTCCTAGCAACCAGTTGGTTGTTCGATTGTACATTTCTTTGGAGTAATGAAGTTTATGTTGCTGTT